CAGTAGATATTCAATGGCATTTGTGTTATTATGAATACATAATTATTATTTTATGTTGAATTTTAGCACCATTATTATGCTATTAAACAAAAATTTAAGGAAAATGTAACAATTGTGACCTTTGTACGCCAAAACATGTTGACACGAAACAGTGTCTACACAACGCAGTTTTCCTTTATTTTGCACACGATTTAACTTTTCTTAAATTTATTTTCATATTGTTAAATATATTTTTCTTTTAGTTAAAGCCTGAAAAATCTGTGTTTTCTAGTGAATGTATCTGTTGTTCATCAGCCGTACAGAGCCGTTTTAACATTCTAGAATCTAAAATTTATAATTCACATATATATCTTTATATAAAGATTTTTCATGTACAAAATTTTTCATGTACAAAGTTTTTGATCATTTGTTCGTAACTCTTTTAGTGCTTAGTTACTCAGTCGATTGTCATGAAATTTTGCACCCATAATTTTAGAGATAGAAAAAAGATTTATAGTATATGTATATTCGAAAAAATATCTATAGATTGATACAATCTATATACAAGAGAGCGAGTCAAAAACTTTTAGTCCAATATCAAACGACACCAATGACCGTAAAATACAAAATCATTCAAAATTTTTTAGTATATATCCCCAACCAGTACTGCATATCCAATAAATCACCGTGTCACGTTACTTGTTAGATACATTAATGAAATCCAAACCCCAGCCTACACGAACATACGTCAACGTCAAAAGTTATATATTATATGTTATGTATTAGTACTGTGTGCTTAAAAATGCTTTAGCTAGTCCAGAAGATCAATTCTCCTTTTATGACATTTGTGAGATCGAAAATAGATCGAAACTGAATTTTGAACGACCTGCGATCACAACTAATAGGGATTTTTACTTTACAAAATGGAAATTGTACTGTGTAACTGATGTAAATAAGGTCGGTATTTGTTTCTGGTATGGTATGATATGTTATGGTGTGATATGTTATGGTATGATATGTTATATATGTGAACCTGAACTATTATAATTTGTACCTACATATGTGTACGGAACCCTCGGCGGACGAGTCCGACTCGCACTTGTCCGGATTTTTTTTTTATTTACTCTAAAACACCCACATCTTCACATCAACAGCCCTTAATAGTGCACTGCTGGACATGGCCTCTCCTTGGAAAGGAGGTTTTGGCCTACTGTACTACGCTGGCAAGACGGGTTACGGTTATTGTCAAGTTGCCTTCTCTTTGCAGTGCTGTTGGGCTGTCTAGTTTGTTCTCTTAGTCGGCTTTTACGACACCCACTGGATGACTGGGACAGGGGTGGTGACATCCCGCATTCTTAATCCGTCACCACACGGAACAGAGACCGATGGAGACTTAGTTTATTATTATTAAATAGTTTTTTTTTTAAATTACGAACTTTAGTTTATCAAATCTTTTTTTTTTTTGTGTGTTGTGTGACGCAAATAACTATTAAACTTTTGTGTTGGGTACAAAATTTCCTCAAATTTTGGGGTACTCCCAGTACTAGTGTAATTCTGGTTTCGGAAATTTTGTATCTCTCTTCAGTGCCGATCACTTCGTCTGTTATTCAGGACTTAATGAGCTAGATAGTTCTGTTAAACTCGCTGGGTAAACTCACTCACTCGGTGAAAAACTACGAAAAAGTTAATTAGCACCGATATTCTGTGGCAATCCCACGGTTACTGATTTCCTGACCCCGAATTATCTTATTCCTTCGTCCTGTCTGAAAGCAATTACATTCTCAAGGAGAGCTCATGTTAATTTCAGTGTTACACATTTGTCAAATAAAAACCGGTCAGGTACGAGTCGAACTTGTACGCCGAGGATTCCGTACCTACCCAGATTTTAGGTAGATTTTCGCTAAAATTGGTACTTTATCTTAATTTTCAACTTTTTTTATTTCTGGAATTATTCCTTTATTTGTGCTGTAAGACGTTTCTTTTTGCCAAATTTCGTGATTCTAGGTCAACGGGAACTACCATATAGGTTTTCGACCCAAAACCTATATGGTAGTTCCCGTTGACCTAGAATTGTCAATTTTGGATAAAAGCAAGATCTTACAGCACAAGTAAAGAGGAAATTCTGAAAAATACAAAATTTTGAAAATTAAAGTGAATTTTGGTACTTACAAGTTTTCGCGAAAATCGTGTTGACTCAGGACCTTGATTTTTATATACCCAATAGGGACTATAGACCTCAGTATCTGGTATAAATTTCAACTTGCTAGGTCTACCCGTTCCTGAGAAAATCGGTGGTGACAAACGGACAGACGGACAAGAAAGTGATCTTATAAGGTTTCCTTTTTTACCTTTTGAGGTACGGAACCCTAAAAACTTGGACCATGGTCAGAATAGCCGGCAGTGCGTCACAGAAAGCCAGCGAATCACGCGATATTAGTAGGTAAGACATCAGATGCTATACATGATATAATATTTAGACAAGGTTTGCTCTTATTTTATAGATATAGTATATATAGTGTTTAAGGTGTGAAAAATAAATCGACAAGCAGTGTCGCATTTATAATACGGCAACTAATTATCGGCATCATCGCTCTGGGGAGTAACCCCTCATGTTTATGTGTACCTCTGGACTCTCTTTTTCTGTCGGAGAGTACGGGTATTGGTATTAGTAGTGGGCTCTCATTTACTAATTTAGACCCAAGAATGGTACTTTGTGTGTCTTTATCTAGGTGAGCCAATCAAGCTCCTTCCAGAAGCGCAGAAGCATCCAGGGGGCTTCTAGGAGTGATTTTGTATCAGGAGTTGATGATGCCTTAAGCGAGTCAAGCAGGATCATAACGGGCTGCCTCAAACCTACCCCGTTGAGCATGGTGAATCCTCTTGCAGGCATAGTTCCTCCAGACGTTCAGCGAAAGATAGCTTGTGCAGTAGAGAAACAATACCAGAATAATGATTCCCGTCACCCAGTGCCACGTAGTGGTACAGTACAGTATGCCCCCTGCCGCTTGAAAAGCCGCCGAAGTTGTGTAAATCTATTTACAACATTACGAGTAGTTTTCCTCCACAGCAGGGAGCAAATATCAGCCAACATGGAGATCATTGAATCGCTTACGTACGCAGGTTTGTCGTCGCAAGAGTAATATGGAAAATTGCGGCTACAGCGACCAGTCACACCCGCCTGTGAATTTGGCACTCCATTGCAAAGTATGTCGCATTGTCTTTCTTGTATGATAGAGGAGCTATGGAAGGCAACGGATAATGCCGGGGCTGTTCACACGTTTATATATACTACATACGTGCAATAATTCGCTTTTAATTCAATTCGCTTTTTTCGTACAATCTGCTACAAATCAATTTTATGAGCTCCGAAGTGTATAAGGCGATCGCTGAAAGCCCCACTAACTAATCTTTTATCGATATTTTGGACTTAAAAAAAACGAAATAATTAAATTAAAATAACAAGTATTTCTCAGCATCATTATTATAAATTCTGACTATTATTTTGAGCCGTAAAAGGTGTTAGGCAATTATTTCGTTGGTTTTTACCGAGCGTGTGAGTTTACCGGGTTTCAAACCCTCTCTTTGTCCCTGATTCAGGGCCTCAATTCTGCTATTTTCTGTTACCGCTGCCAAGCCATTGTCATTCCACTGACACGCTATTGAGATGCCATTGACATCGTTCAAAATATCGGTGTTCTACTAACATAAATTCACAGTGTTAATAAACTGTCGATATAGTAATATAGGTCATCAATGGTACTATCAACAACATTGCCATATGATTAAAATTAAATATATAATTTTACCAAACTATTACAAAGACATCGACGACATTTGTATCAGTGACAAGTCATCGAAAGGCCATTGCTCTGACATAGTTAGTAGAATAAGAAAAGTGCAAAACAGTCTATTGATACAATATTGAAATAGCAGAATTGAGGCCCTGGGGGGAGGTGAGGGACTGATGAGGCGGCAACACACTTGTGATTCTTGAGGTGCTGGTGTCCATGGGCGGCGCTAGTTACTTACAATCAGGTGATCCATCTGTCGTCAAGGTATTGAAAGACCAAATGTAGTAAAGGATGACCGAATCTCAGCGAGCAAAGTAATGCACTATTACTACTGACTTATTTGAGTTTGTAAAAATTGTAAGAACAAGATTATCGAAATTATATATTTTTAACCATAAAATAATACTACGTCGCTACTTTCACTATATTCTAGGCACCAACCTTCAACATGGACAAGCTAGGTTAGAAATTGGTTATTTCTTTTTAAATCACCCGGAAACTGCAAAGAGGGGCTCCTATTTTCTCCTTACTCGGTGCTACTCTGGCACCTTTCTTCCACTACGACTTATAACTTAAAAAGTTGTAATGTAATTTTTTTTAATTAAGAGAACTAACTCGTCGTAAGTCTTAAGTCGTAAAAATGTGGTTAAAATGTTGGTGGTGATTTATTATTCTGAGGTCAATGAGTTTGCAAGTCATTTACTTTAAAATGTAGGATAAATTTCACATTAAGAGAGGTTTTCGTTTTGGTGATCAGTTATTATTTTTGTTAGCGTAAAAACGAATTTGTTGGATTATCAAATGGAATTCTATTGTTTTATTTAGTCTTTCCTTGTTTAATCGTCTTTCTAGACACCTAAAGCGTTCGCTGGTGCGACAACAGATACGTACACATAGAATCCTCAACTTTCGCATTCGTGCACAAGATATATTTCTGATTGCATCTAATGCTAGACATTATTATTAAAATTTTGTAGGCTGTTATAGGATAGGTTAATAAAGAAAATGACTGACTAATGTAAAGTCTCAGACGGATGATGTTTTGATACACTTATATTGCATTAGGAAAAAACGTATTCTATCTGAATTACGAAATTGAAAAGGTCATCTTGTCGTTTTCCCTTCCTAGTTCTGTTCCTTGTCACGCCCGAGAGCCTGCACAGGCGCAAAACGAGCGTAGCTTCAAAACTACGGCAGTCGTGCGTCGGGACCCGACGCTAATGTCACACCATGAAGGTAATTCAAGCGGTGTTTGTTTACACCACTCTCGTAAACGCGTGTGTCATTGCACGTGGTGGGCGTGGTGGCGGTTCTCGCGGGGGACGCGGCAGGAGTTCTAGTCGCTCATCACATGGTTCCCACGGATTACGCAGCTCGCATGGTTATCATCACGTGACGTCACGTCACTCTCACTATAGATATTATCCACCGAAGCAAATCCACTACACTTGCCGTCACTGCTTGTCAACAGCATCGTACCCCGTGTACAGGCACCAGCTGCCGAACTACGTGTATGTGTACAAGGAATCTAGAGGCAGAAACAACCAACTACTCACCGGTCTCGCTATTTATAACTTGGGACGATCGACAAAAGGATCACACTCAGGTAGTGGAACACGCTATTCAGGTTATCAACGTGAAAAATGTTCCCTGCAAGTCATCGAGAATCATTATTTTGAAGAGACAGAATTCCCATGTTTTATGATATCATCATTTACAGAATCATCTCCTAATAACAACCTCAATACTATTGACATAACCTCATCGGAGATTAAGGTAAAGCCTGACCTATATGATGGAAGTACATTACAAGTGACAGAGGACCAGGAGTGTGTTTTATGGCGTAATATATCAACCCGCAACGAGAGGCATTCAGTACCGTGTGAGTTATTGAAAAAATATGCGGATACAGTGCAGCCTTCTTTAGTGGAACCGTTAATGTATGTTTTCATACCGATCTTTGGGACTGGTATAATGGTTATTCTGTGTTATTATGTCTGTACAACAAAACAAAAGTGAAGGAAGCTGCAAGACTAAAAAAAAGTTCTGTTGCGGCATTTAGAACTAATTAAATTAGACAAATGCCTACATAATTGTATAGATACAGAAATACCTTGTTTGTCGATTATTTTAACTTTAATGTTTAATGTCTTGCAGCAAATAGTTGTGATAATTCATGTATGTGCCAATTTTTGCAAGACTTATCTGCATGTCGTTGTTGTTGAAAATTTGTAATAGCGAAATGAATATATAAATATATAATATAATATATTGTACCACATACACACAACGCCATCTAGTCCCAAACTAAGCAGAGCTTGTACTATGGGTACTAGACAACTGATATAAATACATATTTACTTTTTTTTTTGTAAATAAATAAATTAGCCAAAGAACTATTTTATAATTGTTGTTTAGAAATTTAATATATATGGTGTCAGATTTAATATACTAACTTTTAAATTATCGTATTCCATGCTATATTATATTTTGTATGTAGGTACATAAGATTTTTTGAATAAGTATATTTCTAAATATCATAATTAAAAGTTTGTATGAACTAGATAAGTTTAAATGTTCAATGGGTATGTATTTTTCTAATAAATAAATTGCAAGAACTGTGATGTCTTGATTTGTATTCTATTTTCTATTAATTAATTTGTAGACCTTATTAAAAGAAAGAAAGCAACTTATTTGGAGCTCATATACAGAATGTCCATGAAAATAGGACACTTGCTTTAAACATTTATAGTAAATGTTCATAGCATTCAATTTTAAAAATTATTAAAAATATATTCATTTAAAAGTTATGACCGTTTCAATTTCATACGTTAGTAGGTAATTAATTAGTTTACAAGACTTGGTTATGAAAAAATAACTTAACGTGATGTTTAGAATGACTAACGTGAGATTAACGTAGCTATCAAAGTATTTAAAAAAAAATGTATGAATTGTAATGTATAAATGTAAAAATAATGCTTTAGGTTAATTTTTTGAGAAAATAAATTTTACACAAATTCTAGCAGAAATCTACTGTGCTTCATTGTCCGTAACTACTATTTTTTTCATTTTTAAACGTTTTAGAAACGCAGTGTAGGACGCCCACAGCCCAGGTGGAGTGATGATTTGCGTAAGATGGCTGGCAGGAGCTAGATGCGAGAAGCCGAAAATCGATCGAAGTAGCATGCAATAGGAGAGGCCTATGTCCAGCAGTGGACTGCAATATGCTAATGATGATGATGATGATACGTTATAGCTCGAATTTTACTTCTTCAATTACATAGTTATGAATTACATAATCACATAATTAATCACTTAATTAATTACATAATTACATATTATTTCGTTTTTTATGTAATTACCTAACTACCTTTAGATATTCACAGACCATGCTCAACACTGAGGTGGAAAACAAAAAAAAATCTGCCTGATAGTTAACGTTTACCGGCAAAATTTGACCAATTTCTTTTCTCTTTAAGAAGGAATCTATTTTCATATAACATTTTTTTTTTTTTTATTTGAACTGGCTGATTGGGCTGGCTGGCTGGCCTGAGCAAGTACGGGATTGAATAACTTTGCGAGGAATGAATATGATCTATTTATTTATTTACACAACTTTATGCACTATTGCACAGCGGCGAACTTAATGCCCAGGGCATTCTCTTCCAGTCAACCTTTGGGTGATGTAAAAAATCGTTAGTAGTGGGCGCACATAGGTTGCATTGCTATTCAACTAAAATATACACTACACAACACTACATACTTAGATCTATATACAAATATATACACAACATTTCTATATATACATACCTTTTTTTATACTATAAATAGTATACACCTATATATATTTACAAATACAAAATATTTATTTCTCTGTATTTCAGGAACAGTTTACACAGTTTTGCTAAATTTAACGCCATACACAAGGAATCAATAAAACTTGTCCATGAACACAGGAACATCAAATAATTCTCCATGGATTTACAAGTTTGATGTGACTTTTAATGACAATCAATTATTTTACAGCAGTGTGACAGAATCTATGTGCGAATATACCATGAAATGTGTATCAAAAAGGGATGTTTTATTGCCATTAAAATATAATTCGAGCTTGACTTTTGTAGTTATTTTTTACTTTTGTTCTTAAGTTGGTGTTATCTTATACGTCAAAAGTTATAGAAAGTTTATACACGAATTGTATGACAATATCTCAATAAAAAAGATTAACCAAAACATAAGTTGAACATAACTTACTGAGTATGTGTAAGAAGCACGTTTATTAAAAACATTAGGTTGATAGAACTTTCTGGCAAGTTCAAGCTACAGGTATTCGACCTTTTCCTGCTCGAACTATTGCTAATATTCTTTAATTAAAAAAGTATATAAGTATCTTTTAGTCAATATAGCTTTCATAGTACAAGCTCTGCTTAGTTTGAAACTTAATGGCGTTGTGTGTTAAATGTCCGAAAAATATTATTATTATATTGTTCACCTGTATGATCAATTTCTCTATCTCACTTTCTGATCTACTTTTACTATCAATATACTCCCAATTTTACCATTTTAACCATTGATATAATACTATTTTAACCCTAACACGCTGTGTTGACTGCTATAGGTTTGTCCCCTTTTACTTAATTTAGACTAAAGTTAATAGTTGGCAAATGCGTTTAATATGACGTTTATTTTATTACTTAAAAGTAATAAATAGAATGAAAATGAGGAATGAATAGAGAGAGAGAGAGAAAAAGGATACAATAAAAATATGTATGAGGCAGAAAAATACAAAATAAGCCGAACAAATCTTGTTTGCGCTCTTACGATGATTTCTATGCCAGTATTTCAGCGTCTTAGAATAATTAAAATGAGAAGAAGAACCTAAAGGAAAAAAATGAGATCCCAGCTAATATAGTTCTGTTGCAGAATTATTTAAATTTTTATTAATAATTTAAATATTAAAAAAATTAAAGTATGATAACATAATCTTGCTACCGTTTAGGCTTGACAGTTTCAGTTTTATTTTGACAACAACAGCTGCCGTGGCGCTAAAATCTATAGCCCTACATGAAATATCTGTGTCAAATGAATAAAATTGCATTATTTTCATTTTTTGTGAAGTTTGAACTTTCTCAACAAAAACGTGTAATTCGTCTGTACGTTAATTAAATCAAAATAAGGAATGCTAGCATTTTTCGTTTTTCGTTTTAGACGTACACTCATAAGATCGGCAATTTACCTACTGAAGAAAAGCGTCATTAAGAGCACCCATAACCAGCGATGAAGGTATAAGCGATGAAAGTGTAGGGTCGAGCTGAATTGACATTCAGTTCGACCCTACGTTTTTATCAAGTTCTGATCAAAAAGGAGTTCTCTCGTCTCTGCCTACCCCGAAAGGGATCGAAACCTATGAATACGTATATGTATGATGTGATAAAAAGTATCCTATTATTATTCTTACCTCCGATATATGTAGAATAGGTATCACATCCTTTAAACAAAATTCAGCAGCCGTCCTTTACCTCATAACCGAGAATCTTTATTTAAACGTTTTGAACCGAATTCATCAGACGGAAATAAAACTTCAAACAAAGTAATGAATGTGGCCCACTAAAAGAATCAGGATCACCTTCAAACGCTGGAAGGTGACTCCAATTAGAATATAACTGCTTCCAAAAACTTGGATATTTTTGTCTTGTTATGACTGAAAAGAGATAATTGTATGGAACTTCATTGTTGAAACTGGCTGCGCCTCGCATCACATTAAAAGAACTGGATTTGCTGTTTTAACTTATCTAAAACTATATACTTAGTAAGAATATGTTGACAATTACTAAATTATATCTACAACCATCATACGTTTATCCCTCATAACCTTCGATCATATATAATATACAAGTAATTTTATCAAACATGTAACGTGCGATTAGTAATAGTTTAATGAAGTCGTTCTCTGTTGGTGAGTAGGGTTATCAGAGCTCAGGAATAAGATTGTCAACGAGATGTCGACAACAGCTCATCATAAAGCGGGTTGTGTGCTTATTTACCAAATTTTGGGGTAAAACACAATATCTACATTTTTCTCGGATAAAATACGACAATTCGAGGAAACGAGGAGTTGTCGTTTTTTAGAAGAAATGGAAATAAAATTTTAAGAGACACTTACCATTTTATAGTGAACTTAAACTTAACTAATGTATCTTTTAATTTGAAGTTAAAGCCTTTTTCCACGAATTTCACTTAAATGCGGCTTGAAAAATACGGATACCTACTTGTCCAAGGTGACACAAACGCCTTACAGACTTTAACGGGTCTTATTAAACAAAGGAACAAAAGAAAATGCTTTGCAGGCATTCGTTAAACCTAATGCTGTCTAATGAAGTAGAAAGTTACAAAGACAGTACTACCATTTAGAATATATTAAAGTTAAAAAAGATTCAAGAATTAGTAAAATGATGATCTGGTAGATTTGGAAATGATAGAAAGACTTTTATCGTCGTTTACCATCTAAAGGAGATATTCACAACACTACTACATACTATTCGGTGTACATCAATGAACAAATCCGGACAATTTTTTTTTGCCACAGGACTGGTTGCCGCAGCACAGACGGTCTACTAAAGGAGTACCTTTCAAACGCATATATCTATGTCTATATATCTACATTAGTAGTTTGAAGCGATACATTTTTATTTATGAACATTCGTTGCAACGACTTCTTTCGTCACAGTTTTTGCCCACTTGCATATTTGGTTGAGTTTGAGGGAAGCATTTAAATTAATGGGAGAGGTCCAGCAGTGGACTGCGATAGACTGATGATGATGATGATGATTTAAATTACATTTGACCAGCAAAGTACTTTTTATTAATACTTGTTATGTAGTACCAAAGATATATTGATTTTACATTTCTTATACATTATAATGTAGTTTGTGTTCTTTATATATCTACCCATGGCTTATGACTAATTAATACTAATAAAGACAACACTTATGTTTAGGCTGTCTACTAGTTATGTAATGAATGTCTGCTTTCGTATTCGCATTTGCCAATATTCACCGAATTAATAATATTCCGATTCTCAAAAAAAAACCAATCCAAATTACGTTAACTTTGTTCTTATTTAGTCTTCAGCCGGTCAGATCTAAATCAATAAAACCTTGCAAACAATTTCCTTCTACTTTATTTCATTTTATTATCAAACTATGTTGGGGATGCGAAAAATGAAACATTCATTACATCACTCTCCTTTCTACACGGTATACGCATAGTTCTACAGATATTTCCTGCTTATACTGTCAGCAATATGGCATAAGCTCCACAAGATAATATAGAGAAAGCATTGCGAAGGATTTCTACGATAGAGAGATAAGGAGGCAACAATATACTCGTATTAGGCACATTATTAAGTATTTTTATAGTTCATTACGCGTGGCAATGACAGGACGCGTGGTTCTGAGATAAAAATAATACAGAAGGCCTATGCAACAAGGGCCCTCAAATTTTAAGTAGAGGTTGTACATGTAGTAAATTGTAATAGTTAAACTAGGCTGAAGGTAAATTTTAACATTTAACAGATTTATAGATGTGTTAAGTGTGGGTGTTCGGATAACCAAATATTACCATTTTAATGGAAGTCACTTCTGGATCTAAAGGATGTAGTCCGTTTATATTATCTGTTGTATGCACATTATTATACTGATAAATATCGTTATAGGAATGTTTTTACTAATACAACCAATTAATTAAATAGACCACATTTTAAAAACAGCAATGTTTTCACTTCTGAGTCTTTGGTCAACTGGACCCACTCGAAATGAAGCCGCGGTATCACTAGGTCGCATATAAATAGGTCGACTGGACCCAATGTCGTTTACACAGTTATTTGTACTGTATTATATTTTAGTATTACATTTAACTCATTTTTGTTATAAGAAGGTTTGTCTTGATTTTACTTATACGTACCTAATTTAAAAAGCTTTTGTCAATCAAAAGCTTTTTAAATTAGGTACGTACATAGGAACAAATGTGTCAATCAAATTGAATTGCGTTTTATTATATTTGATTAACCAATTTTAAGCTTTAAATAATAATTGTTTTTTTAAGTGGATTCAGTTAATCAATAAAAATACACAAAATAAATTATGCGGTCAAGCGGACCCGCGGTTCCAGTAGCGAGCGGAGCCTGCTAGCCGACGACGTTATATTACATTCTATGTCATGCAATAAAAACAAAAATTGTTATTTACACTGTTACTTTGAATTATGTTATTATATTGTAATATAATAACTTATAATTATATTTATTAAAGATAAACCGTTTTACTTACGTTTTTATTATACGGATGCTCGACTAGTTTCGGACCGGAAAGAGGAAGTTTTCCAAGAAGTCAAACGTCCTGCCTTAACGCTGGAAGGTCAGGCTGTCAGCCGTTTAGCTTTAATAAATATGGATATCACTCACGAAAAGTTTATACTAGTAAATATATAGCTATTAAATGGGAAAATAAGGATATAAACTAATGATTTGCAGAATATCCTACAACGGGAATATCATTGAGGGGCGTAGTTTCCTTAACACGTGACTGCCTATACTTATTAACGTAATAACAAGTCACATAAATCGTTATAATCACAGCAATTAACGTTGGTAACCAAATATACACCGGAACTCCGTTTGATGTCACTGTCTTTGCGTACTCCTTCAACAAAGCGCACGGTACTTGATTTTTCTCTTTGTCTGTAGTCGTATTATGCCACAAAATGCACTCCTGGTCCTCTGTCACCTGCAATGGATCTTCTCTAGTAGACTCCGGCCTGACATCAATTTGTGACGAAGTTATATCAATCGACTTTTCTGTATTCGATTTCGATGATTGTATGAATGAAGAAATCATAAAACATGGAAATTCTGTCTCTTCAAAATGTATTAGATCGGTTACTTGTAGTGAACACTTTTCTTCTTGACTAGGTGCATAGTTTCGACTTGAATACGAATTAGAATTCGATCCCGATGATGATCGTCCCAAGTTATACATTGCAAGCCCTGTGAGCAGTTGGTTGTACCTGCCGCCTGTGTCTTTGTATATATATACGTAGGAAGGCAACTGATGCCTGTACACAGGATATGTTCCAGACCCAGACGATGAGCAGTGCCGGCAAGTGTAGTGTATTTGAGTCGGCGGATGATACGTGTAGTAGTAATGCCTTGACGTAACGTGATTGTAACCGTGGGAACCGTACGATCCCCGAGTTGACGAGTGTCCCCCGTGATATCCACCGTGTCCACCGTGCCCTCCATGACCACCGTGCCCTCCGTGACCACCGTGACCACCATGTCCACCTCTTGCAATTACACACGCGTCAAAAAAACCTGCGTAAACCAAAGCTACATACAATATATTCATTGTGCAACGATAAGGGCGGGCCCCTACGCGCGACTGACGGACCAACTGAGATGAGCTCGCTTGCCGGTAGTGCAGACTTACTGGCGCGCCATTCTGTCGCCATAGGCGAATAACCCAAATAGAGCTTGGTGAAAGCTCACGAATTAAATAAAAAGGCGATTTTTATTTGAGTTAGTGATACTAGATATCTTATATTTTTTTGTCGTATGTCATGAAGTAATAAATAAAAAAAATACAACACAACAATATTAATTCAAAGCATAGCTTTTTCAAAATGCGCTTAAATCACAAGAATCCGAACAACGCTTTTGTATAGAGTCTGGCTAACGAAAATTGAACCTAGCAAACCACGACAAATTAAAAAAACAATGGGCTTTAGTAGAAAAAAATGATGTTGAGACTTTTATTAAAAATACTAAATTATGCTAAGCTTACTTATGGTAGGTTTTTCTGATGTGTGAAATTACAGATTGTAAAGAAATGAACAGGAACATTATTTTCAAATAGCTCCTCAGATTAGATTGATTTTTTATAACCTCAACATTATGAAATAGCTGCGTAAAACGAATCCTTATTCTTATCCATTTAACAGTATGAAATTTTAGGGCATCTCGACATGGGCATGCCGTTATCGCGGCTGTAAGACCACTTCTGGAGGATTGGCTCGAGTGGCGTCACGGGACCCTCTCATCCTTTCCCAGTGATCACCTGCGGATCAGACGCAGGTGATCACATGGAAAGGATGCTTCGGGGATCATCTGTGTCTGATCCGCAAGGAGCCAACGCCTGAGTGCCACCACTGCGATGGCCGGACCGTGGACACGGCGCTCCACACGCTGGCAGAATGCCCGGCATGGGTGGAGCAGAGGCGTGACCTCGTGGCGGCCATCGGAGTGGGAGTTCTCTCGCTCGAAAACATAATTGCGGCCATGGTGCGGAGCGAGAGTGCGTGGAATTCTGCCGCCTCCTTCTTTCCTTTCTAGGGTACACCTTGTTCCCCGGCTACTGGTACGAGGGGATCCGAGGGGATTTCCGCACAGAAAAAAAAAGAGCGCATCTCGACATAGATAAACTAATCTATGATTTAGTTGACTTTATTGGTATTTATTTAATGTGATGAAAGAACTTTTATATATTAAGTACAAACAGCGCCAGAATAAGCAGTAATTTTCCAGTGTAAGCTCATTTATCGTTTAATAGATTGTCTGTACAAGGGGAGATCACCTTACACTAGAAATGTACAGCTTGATCTGTTGCTGTATATACATACTTCTATGCTACTCGTACATCATAACAGATTATCACACACTAGAACACACACTTGAGCTTTATAATACTAGAATTGATTAACACAAAGGAAACTGAGATTCAAGCGAGCTAATAGGTTCTCTTTAAATTAATCATCACACATCACCTCACATCAACAGCCTGTAATAGTCCACTGCTGGACATAGGCCTCTCCTTGGAAAGGAGGTTTTGGCCTACTACCACGCTGGCCAGACGGGTTGGTATAGGGTTTGTGTCAAGTTTTCCTTCTCTTTGCAGTGCTGTAACTCCCTTAGTCGGCTCTTACGACACCCACGGGATGAATAGGGGTCGTGACATTACGTATTCCGAATCCGTCACCACACGGAAAAAATAAAACGAGTGGTTGTTTTGAATATTTTCAATAAATAAAGACATTTATTACAAAACAGTGTTTGTACAAAATGTATCTCTATCACGTACATTGGATTCACTTAGTATTTTGTATCGACAAGAAAAACAACTAACATTATTCGTAACGCATCTAAATCGCGTTATTATTTGAAGTTAATAAAAAGTATCAAAAGCACTGTTCAACTAACCTCTAAAAGACGCTGTGATATCTAAACACTGCCTTTTCTACTTGAACAAGGTTTCTCGTCTTGTTTTTATTTGTGTTTACTAATGATATTAAATAGCATCATTAAAAATCCCCCGACACAAAAAAAAATAACAACTGCTCATTGAGACTGATCTATTAAGCCCATGGTAAACATGGTATATATGCTGTAATTTTCTAAGGAGTTGGTTAACCCGCAGACTACTTTATGCAGCAGCAAGTTCCAGGTTACCCTGTCGTGGAAATACCATCAAAGTAACAGTATACCAAATTTCAGATCAATCGTACCTGTGGATTTTTGTGAGATCCCTTCATCACCTTGGAACTGAGCTGATGATCTTAAAAATTTGTAGCTCAGAACTCCTTCGAACACATCGCCTTTCGAACAAAAAAATCTGCATCGAAATCGGTCCATCTGTTCGGGAGCTATGATGCCACATACAGACAGACAGACAGATACACAGGTTACACTTATAACACCCCTCGTTTTCCGTATCGGGTTTAAAACGAGCTCGTCCACATTACCACTAATCGTTTTATTCATGATTCACTCCCTGTCTCACACTCTCTCAATATCGAACGAATTTTTAAGTGATCATACCTGAATCAGTAGACTGATAAAGTGATGACGCAAGAAATTTTTAATTAGTTATCCAATGTACGAGTATAACTGCAGGAATTTCCATTCTTCTTTTGAAACAAGTGACATTTCATTTCTTATCAAGGAAAACACAGTTCACCGCGGCTTCTAAAAAATGTAACAAAATTTCTATTTATTCTACACTTAAGTTATATTCCCATTCGTGTGGAACTTGGGCTGTCTTAAACGTAACATTATAAGTCATAGCTTAAAAATAATGGCAATTACAAAAACGGAGCAGAGATCTTTGTCTCCTCCTTTCCATCTATGGCATCGCGAACCTGATTTTTTAAAACTCTCATCTTGATCTTCCACATTCATGAGTGTTACATTGTGACCTACAGAATTAAATTTATTTGAATTAGATTTTTTAAAACTTTATGCACTTGCGGACTTAATGACATATTTTATTTATTTTCAGCCAGACCTCCGGTTGTTACGAAGAGAACTAAGAGTAACTGGCGACAATTTTTTTTGGATTTTATTGAATTTCGTAATCCGATATGTATTACAGAATTTTAATCCTTAGTAGTATATAATGATTTTTTTCATTTCAAATGTGAGGAGATTTAATATGCGGTAGAAAAAGACTTAGGCTAGTATATCTTTCTGAGAAACCAGTGGTTCGTGATCTTCTTTAATCTGTTACGAGATACTTACTACGCCTGTACGTGCTAGCAGTACGTTAATGTTTTAATGTATGTATGTATTAATTATTTAATTGATTACATTGAGAAATTTTATAAGCTAATTTTACATCTCCTTGGGTTCAATATTTTTGTGGTTTGAGTGTGATCCTTTACAGAACAAAAATGAAGAAGAAAAAACACGTTTAGTGACAATGTGAGTACAAATAGTAGCTGCCTAAAAGTTATTGGCCGTTGTAAAAGTAAAGCCGGTAATTTTAATATAAAAATTTACTACAAATTGGAAAAACGTGATATCAAAAACGCAATACAGATGTTTCTGTCTGTATTAAGTGATTATGGTCGCAGTAGTTATACAATGAACTCATGATCTTGAATGTTTGACACCACGCACGACAGGCAACAGTTACTCACCGCGTGTTGACGACACAAAGCGACCTCTTCCGCCTATATATCGAGATGAACGATTTCCTGACCATTGTGAACATCACATCTTAGACACGCGTTACAACAGGTTACATTGTATGCTGGTTCTTACGAGTTTATTATAAGATATATGTTTTATCGTACTATAACAAGTAACGTAACTGAATAAAAGACCAAATGCGATACTAAGATTTTTACAGGAATTAGAGCTCCCAACCTTGGCCTTGATACATTTTAGAACCACAATCAACCTAAAACTTATGAGCATTTTAGTTTCGCTGAAGTCCATTCTTCAACTTACAACATATATGTAAAGTATGAAAACTATGTTCTCGCACCTAATTTTTCTAAAGCCATATATGCTGTATTTGGAATTCAGATTTCGAAACACGAATTGTGTTGTCGCTTATTCTTTAGCGCTGCTTAGCACTTTACTAGCTTCCCAACTGTTAATATTTATGTCTGGTTATATTAATAAGGTAATTAGGTAATTTTATAACATTGATGCACGGATGGCGAAGTGGTTTAAGCGGTCGCCACGGCGCTTCCTACTACTATTTGATGTGCCGCCCAACCTCTACCTCTATTCAACCCACTTTAATAAGCGAGCGGTTGGGAACTGCACCTCTGCGTTTCCTGTCAAACCACAGGGTTTCCGTCTTGTGAGGTGCAACCCTTAGACCCAGACCGCTGATCTTTTGGACGACACAAGCTACCCCTAACTCGGCGAGCTCCAGGACCTCTTGGTTGGAAGCCATGCCCCCCAGCCGGTACCAGAGTGACGTCCGCTTAACAGACGATACTCACTCCCGGTTGAAGGCTGGCCCTCAGTCCGATGAGCCTGAGTGCCACCACTGCAGTGGCCAGACCGTGAACACGGCCCTCCACACGTTGGCAGAATGCCCGGTGTGGGTGGAGCAGAGGCGTGACCTCGTAGTGCCCATCGGGGTCGGGGTCGCTCGGTAGAGTGCTTGGAACTCTGCCGTTTCCTTCTGCGAGCAAGTTATGCTTGCGAAGGAGATGGCGGAGCGGATTCGGGAGAGCCCAGGTATCGCAGGCGACTCATTAGCGGGGGTCGCAGAACGACCTCAGTCCTTCAAAGCGCAGGCCTGGGAGTGACAGGTGGGCCATCTGTCACCCTAGCAGCAGGCCGGGGTGGCGGCGAGACGCGCTGCGAAGCGCGCGCTTCCTTTCGGGAGCACAAAGAGAACATCGGGGTTCCCACACGGCACACAGGAGGAGTTCCTCTACACGCCGTGGATGGCCCGAGGTACGTCGGGGCACCAGGGTTTACCTTTCTAGGGTGCACCTGGTTCCCCGGCTACTAGTATCCAAGACGGCGTGCTGTTCGCATCCGATATAATCACCCCACTGGTGGGTGATATCCGAGGGGATTTCCGCACAGGAAAAAAAAGAAGAAAAT